TATTTGATAAAAATGTGTGTTTCACTCACTTTCTTGACGAGCGTGACTGAAGCGCTGCAAGCAGAGAGCTGTATATCTAATTTCTGTTCATCTTCAGAGAACTTTAAAGCATTTGCAGTACATTCGTGAGGCAGACGTAAGTGCTGTTATGTACTGAAGCTTTGGAAACAAAACCAACGGTTCAAAAACATAAATATAAAATTGAAGAGAGCCATGCTACGCATTTTGCCGTCTTCTCCTGCGCCATCGGTACTAAGCTACAGCTGCTGGCTTGATGCAAATGAACCGCAGTTCGGACCCAAATAATATAATGTGAACACAGTCCAGCGGGGGCAGGGGGAGCAATCGAACTCTGGTTCGGACCAAGCAATCGAACCAAAGCTGCTGGCTTGATGCAAATGAACCGCGGTTCGGACCCAAATAATATAATGTGAACACAGTCCAGCGGGGGCAGGGGGAGCAATCGAACTCTGGTTCGGACCAAGCAATCGAACCAAGTGTGAAAGCACCCTAAGTGCTTAAGGGCCACGGCTGTGGTTTTACGTCTTTCAGCGACCACTGACTGTTATTTTTAATAGCTATCAAAAATACTGTTGCATATGATCACAGTCTCTTCATCCAAAGAAATGACACAGATACACAACATCAATCAATACAAAATGATTAATCACGAGAATTTTGATAGCCATTAAAACTACCAAACATTATGCCACTAAATGCATCGGTTCCACCAAGTATGTTGCAAATGACTAGTTTTCTTTCAAATTTCATATTTACCTTTCGCCACTCAATTCAACCAATAAAACCCAATCTAGAGGATTCTATTCTATAAATATATTTAATACTTAATATAGAAGATAATCGTTCAGTGTCTAAAATCTAACAAAAACCTTGGTTTTACTGTCTTAACTTCAAAAGAGAAAATGAAATCTGCAGGGAACATTGGTCCCACGTGGCAAAAGACTGACTGACGGTGACTAAAAATGGCTGAGTTTGAACCTGACTCTTTTGTGGAAGTCTGGAGAAGAACCATCAGGTTGCACAAACCATTCTCCATAGAAATTGCACCAAATGTCCACAAAACAAACGCAGGGTTATTTCAGTTGACATCAACTCTCCCGCCACCTATTTCCTTCCATCTGCCAGCTCTACCGTACTCGGAAACCTTGCCACCAAGGGCTCTTGTATTAGAAAGACCAAACGAGGTCCTAAACTGATTAAGCACCATGAAGGAGAACAAACATTTGAACCCATGTATTTGGCAAAATATCACCTCAAAGTGTCATTGTTCTGTTTACTCTTCGCTGAAAGAGTTCCATGTCAGTGTTTCTACAAGTTGAGATCTTTGCTGTGAATCAAACAGGTAAGCCATAAATGAAAAACCGTTAAAGGAGAATGAGATCCAGCTGTTTGTCACTGAGGCTGCTGGGAGTGAGCCGCACCTGAAGACTGGTATGAAAGACTCTGCTGAGGAGATTATTGCTTTAATAAACCTTGTGATGTGAGCAGTCCAGGCCTGGTCCACTGAGCATGTGCAAAGACCCATCAATGAATCATACTGTTCAGTCATACAGATTTGTGTCCTGATTACAAGTCGTATTGTGGATTCTCTCGAGACCACATCAAGTTTAGACCAATCCTGTTATATAGAGACAGACTGCTGAATGACAGGAGTGTTGTTGGCTGTGCTGGAGTTCATTCTGGGCTAGTGTCTGAAAGTTGTACAACTTCAGTGCCACTATGACAGTGTTGACATTTATGGTTTGTTTTTACACTTGGTATGCATCTTGGGTGATCCAGTCACACTTTTAGAGATGCCACATCGCATTACACTAATGCATCCTGGACCACCTTCTCATTTATTACTTAATCAATGGGCTGCAAGCCATGTACAACTATAAAGTTGACCTCATTGCAACCAGATTTTCTTCTCTATTGTGACGTATATCAGAATGACGGCATCTCGAAGAGCGGGACTTTATTTTGTCAATCAGGAACTGATTGGATCGTTGTCATTTGCTAATTGCTGCATTCTCACGTGAGTGACAGCTTGCTCGAAAATAAGATCTTGCATAAATTGTGTAAATCGGAGGGCATGAGTGTGCCAATTCATTTTTTTGTTCTTTTTGCACTTAATCAACATGCAGTGCCCCACTGATGACACACTACTGAAATCACATTAACTCCCTTCAACAAAAACACACCATAAGTGGTCATAAGGTCAAAGGAAATGCACGTTAACACAATGTGTAAATGATAATTCCTCAGCTGACTACTTGTGATCAGATTACCCGAGACTGATGCTAATACCAAGTATAAACAAGAGTCTTGCCCTGCTCTTTCTCCAGTCAACACACACCAGCACATTCCTCTCACAAGTACTCTACAGGACACAAGCCAACCAACAACCTGCTACTCTCATTTGAGGAATATTATACTAATGGAAGTAATATAACAAGAATATGATCCACTAGCCTTAGTACAACAGACCATCACTGCTTTTCCACTGACACGGTGCTGGTGCCTGGCACCATTTTGCACATTTCCACTGAAAAACGGTGCCTTTCCTTCTAAACCTGCAGATCTCAACTATCTAGTAACATTAGAGTCACTGGATGGTAAAAGAGTCCTGTATAACGTAAAAATATATGTTGCACACAACCGCAGTTGACATTTCTATTGTTAATCGTGCTGCACAGCTTCTCCAGCAACATTATTGTCCCTGTCTGTCTGAAACAATGATTTATTTACAAATATCATATTAGGGCTGGGACAATAAATCGATGCATCGCGATTCTTGGATCGATTCTGAGATTTTCGGAATGCATCGTGATTCTCTCTCGAATCAATTCTGAGCTTAGTTTTTAACAGCAGATGGCGCTCTAGGCTAGTTTTTAACTGCACAATCAAATGCTCACGAAGAAGAGCACTTGTGCATTCGGCAGAGTAATGTAAGTGGTTAAATTGCACATTGGCTTTTATGATGCGAGATTAATGTAACCACAGCCCACTGTGAACATCCTTGTAATTCGCTTCAACCTTTTCTAACTTTATGAATGATTATTTTAGGTTCAAGTGGTGCGCGTGTAAAGAACTGGAAGCAAATAGGATATGGCTATTTCTAAAGCATGCAGTGCCATCTGCTGTTAAAAACTAAGCTCAGAATCGATTCAAGAGAGAATCGCGATGCCTTCGGAAAATCTCAGAATCGATGCAGAATTATTTCTCGATTCGCTATGCATCGATTTATTATCCCAGCCCTATATCATATGTGTGAATCATGATTGTTGTTATAATTGAATGAAAATAAGTTCTCAAAAACTGGAAAAACCTAAGACTGTAATGCGCATGATTAGGTAATGTAGTAATGTTGTCAGTTAGATCATCGTTTGGCTCTCAAGAAATATGGGTCGGCTCTGAGACAGCTCCATAGATCACTGGCTCCTGCACTAGCACCATTTAGTGGAAAAGGGGCATATGAAGGTAAAACTTAACTCTTGGATCACAACAATAACAAACAGAGGATGGACACTGTTGACAGAACAAAGCAGAGATACGTGTGCAGAAAGACTCAAATCTGCTGCTGATCTATGGTTGGTGATGGAAATTCAAGAGTTAGTTCACCCAAAAGAGAAAATTGAATGAAGATAAGTTCTCAAAAACTGGAAAAAACTAAGACTGTAATGCGCATGATTAGGTAATGTAGTCAGTTAGATCATCGTTTGGCTCTCAAGAAAGATGGGTCGGCTCTGAGACAGCTCCACAGATCACTGGCTCCTGCACTAGCACCATTTAGTGGAAAAGGGGCATATGAAGGTAAAATTTAACTCTTGGATCACAACAATAACAAACAGAGGATGGACACTGTTGACAGAACAAAGCAGAGATACGTGTGCAGAAAGACTCAAATCTGCTGCTGATCTATGGTTGGTGATGGAAATTCAAGAGTTAGTTCACCCAAAAGAGAAACCCTTAAAGCCATACTTTCTTCTGAAGAACACAAAAGGAAACATTTTCAAGAATGTTCAGACTGCTCTTCTTCATGCAATTAAAATGAATGGACATGAAAGCACCATAAAAAAAGTCTTTATGATTTGTACACTATATTCCAAGTCTTCTGAAGACATACGATAGCTTTGTGTTAGGAACTGACTGAAATGTAAGTAATTAAAGGCCTGTTCACAGATTTGATTTTCTGTTAAGACCAATGGGGAAAAAGGCAGATGTTGAATGAAAATGCAAATTCACTCCATGACAGTAGGTGGCGCTTTCTGAAGAACAGAAGTACAGAAGAGCACTGTGCTAATTTCCACTTCTGACACCCACTTATCACAAAGAAGAAAGGAAGTCAAACAGAATTTTCATGTTTTCAAACAGCCGTTTAGACTTTTGTATTAAAAAACAAATTCCAGAGACAAGAAACCCAGTTCCGGATTCTTGCTCTGCTATTTACTGTCACTTTGATCACAAAATAGTCTGTTAGTGAGCACCATCACATCATAGTTTTACACAATGACTTTTTGTGATCAAACGTGCAAACTACTGGTCGGCCAGTTTCCTTTGTAGTGTGCCAAATTAGCACTGACAGTGTGCGAATATTTGTGTTGCAGATGCGTTAACAGCCATTCATTCAAATTAAATGTTTACTGAACATTTGTCTTGGTGTGAACAGGCCTTTACTCACTCAAAATCTTGCAGTGTTTAAACAGGCAAATATGCCACGCAAAGACATTGCTAAACAATCCTGGTCGTCACACGTCATAACCGATTGTTATACAACAGTTTAAATGTGCAGAAATTTAGAGTGCTTTTTTGGAGCTTGACAGCCCTTGTGCGTTACTTAATTTTTTTTTAAGAGCAGAAAGTGAAAAGTGTTCAAAATGTCTCCTTTCTTGTTCCAAGGACAAACGAAAGTCATGAGGGTGAGTAAATGACAGTTTTCATTTTTGAGTGAACTATCCCTTTAAAATGTGAGATGGGGGCGGTCTCTCTAACCAGACTCAGTTGCTCTGAGGGAATGGGGGAGTGGCAGCAGTGGCACTAGTGATGGTAAAGCCTGTAGGTGGCGCTGTCGAGCTATGGCTGGGCTGCAGGTCTTTGGGGATCCCACTGTGGGAAGCCAGTTGGTGGCCGAAGGCTGCACTAAACTGTGGGAGCTGTAGTTTAGGTTGGGTGGGGGTGAGAAGGTCCCGTGAAGAGGGCGAGGATGAGGGTGAGGTGAGGCCGGTCAGGCCCGGTTGGGGTAGAGCAGAGAGAGCAGCGGTGGGCTGCAGGATTGTGGAGTGGGACGTGGAGGGCGGGGTGGATAGAGCGGTGGAGAGCAGGTGAGTTTCAGCAGAGAGGAGGTTACCGAACTGTGCCGGGTCTGTGAGCGAAAGCGGGCGGTTATTCCAGGA